ACTAAAGTCTCGCAGAAAACGTCAGCCTTTCTGCCGTTAGTCGCTGCTTCCACTTCTTTGATTTAACATCCAACCACCTTTCGGTGATCTTCAGTCGTGCGTCCGCAGCTTCAATGCGAAGAACAGCAAATTTGGACCGAATCTGGGTAGCGAAGAACGCGCTTGGCCCGCTCGCGAACCGGATCTAGTGCACCGCGACCATCCAGTGAACCCGTTCGGGTTGGGACTTTGGCGGCTGTTTCTTCCGGATGTGGCGCGTGCCAAACAAGTGCCCGATCATGGCCAACTAGAGCGAGGGAATCAGTGCGGAAACTGGTCGCGTTTTTTTCGACCAGAGCGATGCGAGTTCCGGCTGCAAGTCGACGAGGATGTTCAAGGGTGTCCACTATAAGGCGGCCTCATCAGACGGGTCAGTCTTTACCTAGTTTTTAACGAGGAACAATTGGGTTTCAAGTAGGTCATGCGTGTAAGTTAAATTGGCCATTTGTATGCGAGACGCTAGTCGGCGAACGCGACTAAAACGAGCGTTGCGTGTGGAAAAGTCAGCCTTTGAGCCGATGCGAATGCCCCAAAACAACTAAAAAAAACACGTGGAGTCGCTCCGGCAAGCTCCGGCCCCGTAGGCCCCAACAAATTGCGCTAATGTCGGTTATGATGCGACCAAACCCCTAAAGTAAGCACTTGCCCACAGAGGTAGTGTCATCTGCCTCTAGTTTGCTAGTGACATATTCCTCTACGAGTGGAGGTGAAATAGATGTTGAGGCGCGTGTGAACGAATCTTCCTCTGATTTAATGTCTGGTTGCAGATGTCCATCGCCGCGAATTTCGTCCCCTGAAAGCCACTGTGCGCTAACCAGCCCCCTTTCAATCGCCTCCGACCCTGGAATGTCTTCGCAACCCTACACGCCCAACTACTACAGCAAACAGCCGCAATCGTGGGGCAGCCACGAGTTCTACGGGGAAAACAACAACATCTACAACAAGTACGACAGCTACAAGTACAATTCGACGCGGGACGACTCTTCGTCGTTCAAAACGCAGCAGCAGGACTTCTACAAGACGAGCTATGACTCCAAGTACAAGAAGGACAGTGGCAAGAAGCCGCCCACAGCGCCCGTCGGCATGGAAGTGATGAAGAAGCGCCGATTGGCGGCGAACGCCCGCGAACGCCGACGAATGAACAGCCTCAATGAGGCGTTTGATAAGCTGCGTGATCATGTGCCCAGCTTGGGCAACGACAGGAAATTGAGCAAGTTTGAGACGCTCCAAATGGCCCAGCAGTACATTGCGGCCCTGCACGAGCTCCTCCAAAGAGACTAAGCGGGCGGTCGAAAGAGGCAGCGAAATGTGAGACACTCGACTCAAATCTGAGACACTCGACTGATCCAAGTGGACGTTAATGCGTTTAGCTAAAAGGCCGTGCAGCTGATAAACAGCCTCGATTGATTGTTTGCTTTGCAAAGTCGACGATGGGCATTCTTGGCCGATTCGCGGCGCTTTCTCACCATTTATTCATCAAATGCTCAGATCGCTCAGAAAATACCTTTCCAATCTGCTCTCAAAGAAACTCGCAGCCAAATTCGCGAGTTTCCAGAAGGCAACATACAGGGTGTTTGGTGAGTCCATGCCTACGTATCACATTCCGAAAAAACACTTTCCGACTGCAATTCAAAATAATCAGGAATTGTTACGGAGAACAAATCGAAGCACCCTGTATTTTGTTTGCACTGAAAACGGGATCTGAATCGTTGTAACAACAGAAGCGTTTTATAGAGTTGCCGACGTTTCGCCATATTTATTTGGGCATCCTCAGGGCATAACTGACTAGCAATAACATGGTTTAAAAAAAACTGTCCACCGAAACCGATGTAGAATATCTGAAGGCATCAGCAAATAGATTTCGTCAATTCACATTAAAAGTGGTGTTCGCTTTTTTGGCAAACATTTCAGTAAAAAAGTTATTACGATTTTTTCCAATTTCATGCAAAATTCAGGCAAAAAATCATTCTTATTGACTGAAATGGTAGAAGTGCAAGAAACAATCACACTAGGCCTGGGTAACTCAGTGAAATTTTAAGAGTTGGCGCAATGTTTTTCAGATTATTGGTGTTAAAATACTGACAATCTTAAGGTATTTTCTGCGAAAAACTTAAAAATACATTTTATTAGAATACTCGCCTCCTTCATCGCTTTGTGAAAAGTTTTGAAATACGTTTTCAGCTTCGAATTTGGTGCCAAAATTCTAACAATTTTTTTTCAAAAAGCGAACAAAATGAGCGAGAGTTTATAATAAATCATTTGAAAAACTCCTCAGCCCCATACCTCTGAAGACTGTGGAATTTGTTAAAAAAACTACAGGTTTTTAGTTTCGACTGAATGTTTTCCATGCTTTACTCTCTAATCAAAAACGCTCTATTTTGAAGAGTTTTACTTGAAAATACTGACAATCTGGAAGTCTTTTACGCGAAAAATTACAGGATAGATTTAAAGCTTTATCGGAATTTTCCGAAAACTTTTTCAGTGTCGAATTCGGGACAAAAACTAAAATAAATTTCTCCTGTTTTTTCCCGAAAATAATTAGGGTTTTCTCAAAAACCGATTACAAAACTAAAAGTTTTTAATCAAAGGCGCAAAAAAAACCTTATTTTCTGACGCTTCTCTTCTTTCCTGACAATCATGGGATCTTTTCAGTCAAAATTTACAAAATTAGTTCTGTTAGAAAATTCGCCTCATGCATCGCTTTGCAGGGAATTTTAGAAAACCCTTTTCAGCTTCGAATTTGGCACAAAAACCAGATCATTTTATTGATTTTTTCAACGAAAGCTTTGTAAACATTTTTCTCGATCCATAATAATTTTATCTGGATTTTTTCAAAAAATATTTCCCCGAACAGAAAAAGCGAAAGTTTATAATCAATTATTTCGAAAACTCATCACCTTCGTCGCTGTGAATAGTTTGATTTTTTCCGGTTTCTTCATTTTTAGATCAATACTTCTAGACAAAACTCTCTCTAAACACGTTTTACTGTAAAATTCTGGCAAACTGAGAGTCTCTTATGCAAAAAAATTAAGAGATCGATTTTACAAGAAAACTCGTCGACTTTATAGTTTGGTCTTCATTATCGTCTTTTTCGAATACCCGTTTTTTTACCTTTGAATTTGGGACAAAAGCGAACCAAAGTTCTGCTGTTTTTTTTTGAAAAAATTAAAGTTTTCTCAAAAAACGCTCAGAGGAAGCAAAATCATATAATCAACTATTTGGAAAACTCGTCACCCTCATCGCCTAGAACAATTTTTAAGTCGCTTAAAAATTTCCGGTTTTTTCCGTTTGACTCAAAACTCAAAAACGCAACTCAACACAGTGTTACCCAGGCCTAAATCAAACAGATACTTGGCAAAACATTTACCTTAGACTGTACACGATGTACATCGAACCAAATCCCTTTATCAACGCAAACTGACTGAAAAGTAGCCCCATTATTCATAAGAGAGTCTCGGATTAATGGCAGTTGAACTGCCTGTTTAAAAAATCGTACTTAGTAATTTTTATTGTAAAATGTACATTACAAAACACTGTTTTGCTTGTGCCGGATCAGGTCGGGAGAAAACAACGTGCAATATACTTAGACTTAGTCCATATCAAACGAATGTGCAATACGAAATGTTGATATTTTAATTTTAAGCTAGAACTTAAGGTGTCGCTCATTTAACAATCTGGGATTGTGTGCAATATTTATTCATTGTTTATTAGTTAGTTAGTGTACCTACTCTAAACAGCCCCCCATCCCATTCCCCCAATCCCCATCTCAAACACTGTTTGTTATTTATTTTTAATATTTTATAATTTATTGTTTTTTTATGATCATTATTATTATTTGTATATTGTTCCTTTTTGTACTGTTTTATGTTTAATTTTTTTATTATTATATCATACTTGTGGGTGATTATCGGACCGTTCCTTTTGTACTATATTCCTTACCAAATACGACGCAATAAGTGCAATATTTTTTTTAGAAATAAACATATTCCTCCACAGCTAATTGTTGCTTCATTTACCGCTGGTCTTGGTTAGCAATTAAAAAAAATTACATCCATCATCTTGAGCGCACTGTTTAAGTGTTAGAATTATTAATCGCTTCTCTATGCTAATTGTAACAGGGCTTTAAACACCTCGAACAACCACGGATTATGCTGGTTAATCAATTGTTTGACGACACTAATTGGATTTGCTCATCACCCGAAAGTTCAATCGGAACAATACATTTTTCGCAGTGTTTATATCCATATTTATAGCAGAGCCCGAGGAAAAAACTAAAGACAACGCGGCTGTAATAGGTGCTAATGTATGGGGCAACAGGAGAAAATAATAAAAAATGCAAAAAAATCGCTTCCCAGGCATTCCTCGAGGGATTATCATCATCATTTATTCAATAGTGAACTGTTAAAGCCTTTTAGTTGCCGTAAGAAGAATGTTTTTGCTATTGTCCGGCTTGACGAAGACTTTGACTAGACCGAGCACCGAATTAATTGATCATGCTCGTGATGATTATTCCATGTCCAACTTGATGACTATTTAAATCAGTTATTTTCCTTTAATTATATATTGCATTCACCGAACAGAAACCGCTAATGTTGACACGGTGTTGAAACAGGATTTATTAATTGAAGCGCCCGAAGATGGATTATCAGCCTGTTACGCCTCTGAGATATTCCTTGAAAATCTTCACAATGAGGAACAACTAATTGTTATAAACACACTATTTCCACACATAAAATATAAATCTTTCATAAAGGTGCAGATGTTTGAAACGACTGCGTTCGCAAATCTACATAGAGTGCGGTGTGTGCCTTAATTGAAGCGATTTAATATGTACTGGCGTTAATAACCACCCATTTTATACTATCGCTAAGGCTCTAGCAGTGGCGTGCCTACAAGCACCAATCTTTTTTCTAGTCTGGGGATTTTTGTTACGCTTATGCGAAATATTCCTCATACCTTTGGACAGTGCGGAATAACTGATCTTTATGAACACTGTTTTGAGTATACAAATCTTGTACAAAAGCACTTGTACGGTGCTGTCTTTTGAGCGACTGTGTTCGCGAATGCATATACACAGGGTGGTGCGTTAATTGGCACGCGGACATTTAAAGCTGAGTTTCTGCATAGACTAATGAAGCGCGGTTACTTTTTTCGGAGAAAACGAAAATATTTCACCAGTCAGTTAAGAACGATGTTTGTCCATAGAAAGGTAATTTGCTGCTTTGTCAGTGGCGGG